TCCAGCCCTAACGATTCTATGATTCTAAGTACCTGTGCCCGTACCTTCGCTGCGTGGATGACTCTGAGCACTGCAGCATTCCAGTTTTCTTGGAGCCACACAAATACTTAAGAGATTAGGTGGTTTCAATGTTTGTTGCATAGAAGGCCAAAAAAAAAGAGCAAAAATGTGTGGATAATAGAGTTGGCAAATGCAATTAAAAATGATCTTCTTTCCTCTCGCAAACTAAAACCAATGAGTGATACGGGTTTTCTTCAGAAAATAGAGTAGATTATCATCATTAAGAAACTTCTGTGTTTTTTAATCAGAATTTGTTTGTTCATTTTGGTTTTATTCCTTAATAGAATAAAAATGTTTCCTGAATCCTGCACTTCTGCTGTTTCCTTACAAGTGCCTCAGTAAACTTTACAGGTGAATATCACAACGATTTGGAATCGTGCTTTTGATTGGAGAGATCCTGAGTTCAGATGCTGATGATTTTTGAAACCACAGTAAATTATTCATGCAGTAAGATCGGTTCCACTGCTTTAATGACACTAACATGCTTAGTACAGCACAGTTCCATCAGACTGCGGACTGGATGCCTGTCTCTACACATGTAGATGTGCCAATAGAAGTTCTCTCTCCTAATCATTGATTGCCGCCCCTGAACTTGGGAGTGTCTTTTTCTCCTGAAACTCCCAATGGAGCTGCTCATGAGAACACTCCCAGCCCCACTTCTTTCGGATGATCTAAATGAGTTTAAGCAGTAGGTATTTGCTGATCCAGCTCATTTTGACAAAAGCCTTTTAGACTGTGTTTATGTAAGCAGGCAGATTTAGGAAATAGTGTCTGGCAAAGGATCACTGGTGGGCAGCACAGGGTTGAGCTGGTGACTGTGTCATTTTTCACTAACACGGGATTTTTAGAAGCTTTGTCTGTCTGTTATACCTTCAGTGCAGCTACAGTGATGCTGATGGTTTTCAGTTGGTGCTGATTAAATTAGTCCTGTAAAGGAAGAATAAATGAATTAGTACTTCCCTAGCAATTTATATAGTATTAGAGCTATCATTTAAAAATAGTACAAAACTCCACACTTGAGAATTATGTAATTGCTTAGAACAGTGTGCAAACAAAGATTTTAAAGAAGAGTTAAATAACATGATATTTAGCTTTGAGCTTGCAATATTTAGTTAATAATACTCAATTTGTAAACATTTACTAAATTTTCAAAATTGTATTTCAGTATATAATAAATATATATTTCAGTATATTTTCAATATATATCTAGAAAATCCATGCCAAGTTTGAAGGGTTGGATTTTGATTTGTTTTGGAGGGGTAGTATTTTATTTATCACAGTTCAGAAATAAACTGATTGTTGGTAGAGGAGAGGGAATTTATTTTCCCATCCTAGATTTAGAATATCAAAATTGAATTAATGAAATTTTAGAAATGAAGTGATGCTTTAGAAAACCACCCTGTGTTATTTTGTTCAAAGCTCAACATTTTAAAATATGCAACTAGATAATGGTATATAAAATGCAAAATCCCAAATATACCTTCTTGTTCATTACCGTTTTTATGGTTTATTTATGTCTCTGTATCACTAATTAAATGTTAAGTATCAAAAATTGACTAATGAGCTTTAAACTGTCAACAGTAAGTTAGAAAGTATTTTCTATATGCTTATGTAATATCTTACACTAAACTTTAATGGTTTGGAGAACAGTAGAAGACATGAAATTGTAAACATCGTTGTCATGTCACATGTCATCATTTTTAAAGGATACTGTTAAGTGTTGGAATTTTAAGATTTGGACACTAAAGAGAAACTGCTATCATTTAGGAGTACTGCAACAGCAATATTTATATATATGTATTCAGTCTCGTTTCAACATTTTACACTAATTTAACAGTAAGTAAAATATAAGATGTTCTAGTTTAATGAAATGGAATTTTGTGCTCTTAAGTTAAACCTTTCTGATTTGTTCCTGTGCATCATCTCTTCATTTGCATTTCTGTTGCAACCACAGTATATATACTGACCTGCTCAGAATTTACATCGTTAGTTACTTTGAAATATCATAAAAATTATCCTGGAAGTGACTTGCAGTTCCTGAGCTTTGGTATATATTATTAGAGTTTCCAGGGAAAGACAGTTTGGAAGATCCAAGTACTGGGAAGCAGCAAGCTATAAAGAAAAAAAAAAAAATCAGTTTGTGGCAGGGAAATTTATTTATTAGCACTTCCGTTAAGATGAAGGTTGGCCTTTTAATACAGAATTAAAAACTTAGCGTTGAATGGTGAGTTATAGTTCAAAGTAAAAGTTTCTTGGAACTACATCTTGCTTTTAGGTTTGTTTTTCAGGAAATCATAAAGAAATTATTTCCAGTCATAAAAAAATAAAGCATGTTTAGCAGCTGCCTGAAGTATATCTTCTAGCTGTTGATGTCGAATATCGCTACTTTTTGTGTTGATGTATGTTGGAAATAGTGACAAACCAGTGCCTTCGAGATCACTGGAAAATGCAGGCTGACCGTGAAAATGAGTATAAAGTTTGTGGCAGGGTTCTTGTTTCATACTTGTGACTTAAATAGACGAATCAGTTTCTACACGGGGATCAAAGGAGGGGGGAATAAAAATGAAAAGTGAGCTAAGAAATATAGTAAAAGTTCTAGAAAAATACTCAGAAATCTCCAGAGCTGTGATGTGCTGTACTTCTGTAAGAAGGCTCAGAAACCAGAGCTTGGGCACATGACCTCAAGCTACTTAATGCAAATGAGGGAGTATATCCTCAGGTTTTTGGCAAAAAGGCTTCCTCACTGTTCGAAGCATGCTATCAACTAAACCAGTCTCTGGATACAGTACTAACTTTGGCAGTAGAAGAAATGGTTGAATCCTCTCTGAAGATTGAAGGCAATGAGGTAAGATACAGCTTAAAACGGGTTGAAAGTGAAGAATCTAAACTGAATCAGTAATTTAGATTGTTATAGTATTCCATAATAATATAAATGGTTTCTTTCAAGGTTATGAAAAGGAAAATAAATGTATGCACATTATCTTGTCCCTCTTGGTAAAATGTATTATACCAGTGTGATGAAAATGTTAAATTATTGAAGATAAAAGTTTTAATGCCGTATAGAATCTGTTTTTCTCTGTGTGTGTTTTTCCTCTTTGTAGGCTAATCAGAAAGTCAGACTCAGTTCATACATTGCAGATCTTGTTCTGAAAGTAAAACTGTAAATTTTTTTGCTGCATGTAAATGGATGTAACTTCATGAATAATGGAGAATGTTTCTTCTTGTTTCAATATTGTATATGCAAGATGTTGCTAATTGTAAAGGGCTTGACAGTCTGCTCACTGGATTTGCTCTGGAGAGAAAATTTGTAGAAGTATTTAATGGAAAGCAAAGCCATTTGTCTAACAAAAACCTGCTTTACATGAGGCTGCATGCTCTGAATGGATTATTGATTAAATTTATATCATTTTATGAAATTACTATGGCTGCTTTGAAATCTTCAAGCCTTACATTACCTTCCTAGGTTTTCCTGCTATAGAAATATATCCCTTATATGCACGTAGAAATTACGGTTGATGATACTTTTTCTTTTGTAATGCTTGGGGGAGAATTTGAAAAAAAACTGTCTCATATGGAGTAGCAGCCATGTACATGCTTAGAATAATGTTTTTGTGATCTGATTTCTTAAGTGAGAAAAGAGTTAAACTGAAAAATAGATGAGCATCAGATGTGAGTCCCCAGAGCCATGCTTTAGAGTACTGAGAATATTTATCTTTGAGGCAAAAATCAGTTTTCAATCTGAGTTTTAAATCTAAAATTACATTTTTCTACATCCCTCCAGGCAGACCTCTTTATCCTTATATGTGCTTTTTGTGGTTTAATTTTTCTCTCTTCTGATAAAAGTTTAAATTTGCCTAAGAAAACTATACTTTTACATAGTTTTAGAATAATGTATCTTCCTAAGGACTGTACTGGTAAGAAACTTTTCTTCAAATCTCCTTTCTTCTTGTCTTCCATAGAGACTTGCTTTTTTGAAAATTGGTCACTTTTCCTTTTGGGAGTTTTCCATAACTTGAAATGTAAAGGCTTCCAAGATGATAAAAGATAGGAATAACAGTTAAAAAGATAGAGTTTCAACCTCTTCTTTTTTTTTCTTTTTTTTTTTAAGTGCATACATACATTTTTATAGATATCTTCTGATAGATTTTTATAGTAATATTTTATAAAACTTTACTGATTAGAAACAATTAGATTATTTTTTTCCTTAAATCTACTTATTTTCATGAAACAACATGGATTTATGCTAAAAAATCCACGCCAAGGATTAAGACCTGGAATGGTATTCAGTAATCTTAAATCCAGCAATTTAGAGGATTTACAAGTACAGATACAGTTCTGAGTTTGTTTCTCTTGCTAAGTAAATAAACTCATAAATATCTGTTTGTACTCTGTGATGTTGTACTGATGTTTAAATTCCAATTTGTTGGCTAGAATTATTTATGTATCTATCCAAGGTCTTACTGTCTCTGTCCCCGTGCATAAATATCGCAGAATTGACCACCAAAATGTTTGTCATGGTCCAGAACTTGCTAAAATGTTTATTATATGATGCAGACTGTGTCAAGCCCTTAGTTGTATTATTCTAAGTTTACGTATGTAACTGTTTACGATTTTGTTGCATTTACTAGGTTTGCTGGGATGGGTAATCTTCTTAAGGTCCTTACCAGGGAAATTGAAAACTATCCACATTTTTTCCTGGATTTTGAAAGTAAGTTCAAACAATTACAAGACAATGAGAGAATCTTTTTCCTGACTTAACAGTGAACTGAGGAAAAACTTTTAAAATCTGATTGCTTGCAGTGTGTATTTTCCAGCACAACCAATCTATCCAAGTCCTTGTCTCTAAAATAATTTGTTTACTCAGGACTACTTTTCTTTTCCTTTTCTATTTTTCAGGAACCAAATGGGAAATCTTTTAAAAGTTCTCACTTGCACAGAGCTTGATCAGGGGCCAAATTTTTTCCTTGACTTTGAAAGTGAGCAAAGCTTCTTGCCTGGCTTGCCTTCTTTGCTTATTTTTTCCTAATAAACTGCATGCGCTTACGCATCATAAAGCAATTCAAAAGGGATTTGCAAACAAATCAAATTACACTTCAGTATTGCTTTTTGATATTTAGAAAACCATACAAAATTACTTAAATTCATTCTGAGCAGAGAAGGGGGCAGAAAGACAGATATGCAAGTAAAATCTTATCTTGAATTAGTTTCAAAACATTTGTGAGCTGTTGTTAAATTTACATATGAATGAACTTGACCTCAGCTTTCTTTAACAAATCAAGGTTGAAAAAAGATTTCTTTATGTTCCTTCCTTGAACAGATATTGGAAATAAAAAGCTGAAAAAATATATATAAGAGGTGGAGGTGGCACAATTTTTGCCTGGTTCACTGATGATTTAACTGGGGTTATTATAGTTTCTAAAAAGTAGCGAAGTGGTCAAAGTGTAAGTGTATGTGCTTGATTGCATCTCTCTTAATTGCATGGTTATCAGTTTGCAAAACAGTGTTTCGCATTCTAATTTCCTTGTCACATCTATATCTGATTCAAAGCTATTTCACTTTTGCTGGTTACAGTTTTCCTGCATGTGCTTTTAGACATTGTCTTGAAAACCGGTCATCAAATCCTTAAAAATGGGTTTAATCTTACTTCACTAATTACATGAAATGCTTTATATTTAAAATGCTAACAGTGTGTGATGTTTTGTCTATTAATACCTTTATTCTAAAAAAAAACCAAAAAACCCACAACAAAAAAGTTTTGAGAGAAGCCAGTGTTTTTAAAATAACTTTGTTTTGAAGCATGGTTTAAGAGAGAATTTCAGGTGATTAGACACACAATTTGTCACCTTGAAATAGTTTTCTTGAATCATTTATTCCTGAATTATTTTTCTGAAAAAAAATACTGACATGATATGAGACTGTAACCGTGTACATGCTCTGAAGCACTGGTTCAAAAAGTCATTTAAACACATACTTTAATCTCTTTAAATTGTTCAAACATGCTTTCTTGGATGAGAGCTAGAGTGTATGACTAACTTTCCACACATCTTAATCTTCTGATCTAGATCTTATTTACCTCATTATGAAGAATCAATTTTAAATGATGAAAAAAAGGTTAATTAGTTAGTTTGGGTTTAGGAGAAGGTACTGTGAGCCACATATCCCTTTTCCTCTTGTGTCTATATCACTTGAGAATTTCATTGCAAACCCAGATGTCAAACCTTTCTCCAAACACCACATAATTTTTTTTCCTGTCCAACTTTCGAAGGCTTTGGGAGTGCTCTGTGGCTTTGCCAAACTATTACGAAGGTTTGAAGCTGCTATGAGCTTCCAGATTTAATCAGCCCCATCATGTCCTGTGTTGTAAGAAAGTACTCCTGACCCAGGCTGCAGACTTGGCAGGAAACAGGTGGTCTGGCAGCGGGAACCCTTGGTGGAGCGGAGGTGGTGGTGATAGGGGATAGTGCCTGGTTTATGGGCAGCAAAGGTTGGGATTTTTTTCCAAGAGTGCATTGCCAAGAACTGAATGGAGTGAAGCACCTTCTTCCACGGGAAGTGACCAGTGGTTAGTGCAAGCACAGGGGCATGCTAGTGAGGCAAATCTACCTAGAGAGGAACAAAACGTCATCTTCAAATTTCAGTGAGTTTGATGCTCCTGAGCAAAAGGTTAACGTGTTTTGCTTGTGAAATAAAGTCCTGAAGGTTTTTATGGCACAAAATCTGTATCGTGTTGAAGGGATGTGACTGAAGATGCCTGTAGTTGCATGCCTTGGTCTCCTTCAATTAGCCACGTACAGTGTAAAAGGACACTCTTAGTTAATGGACATAGATAAGATCCTGCTTGCATGTTTGCTGGATGTGTGACTTTGTGACCTGAGTTTTCAGTTTGAGTCTGTGGATGAAAACAGTCACTACGGTTGAGCGTTCAGAGGATGAGGGGTATGTTGAGTTGATGTGTTTACTGTTTTTCACTTTTGTGTCACAATATTGCTTTCTAGTTTTTGTGAACTTTTTCATTAAATCTCAGAGTAAATCTGTTGGCACTACTTTTGAAACATTTACAGATTTTTTTGAATACTCCTGCCCTGGTATTTTTTTTTTTCTGCTCTTTATTTGGTATGTATTTGGTATCACACCTGAAAGGAGAGTGTGTGACATACTTCTTGCTCTGCATACAATGTGCCACACAAATATTGCTTAAAAAAGCAGATACAGCCTTTTTCCTCATATGCAGGAGTAGAACAGATACAGTCTGTCTCCATGCCTCAAAAATCAGAGGCTTTCTGGGCTGATGTTGATCAAAAGTAATACAAGTTTTTATATAGTGGGAAAATAACATTAAGGTGTTAAATTCATTTGACAATTGATTTTATTTGTGCTGCTCCAAAGGGGTTGTGCCAAGGGTGATGCTTTGCCACATAGTCTCATGTCCTTATGCTAGAACTGAAATGTACAAGCACGTGATTGCACCCATCATGAATGACAGTGTGGTGGCTGGGTGGACACCTGGTGTCCATCCATGTCAAGCCCCTTCTCAACTGGGCAGAGGGGGAAAAAAACACAACAAAAGGCTTGTGGGTTGAGATAAGGACAGGGAGGTCACTCATCAGTAAGAGTCACAGGCAAAACAGACTCGACTCGGGGAAATTAATTTAATTTATTGTCAATCAAATCAGAGTAGGGTAATGAGAAAATAAAACCAGATCTTAAAACCCCTTCTCCCCACCCCTCCCTTCTTCCCAGGCTTAACTTCACTCCTGATTTCTCTCTTTCCTCTACCCGAGCGATGGAGGGGGATGGGGAATGGAGTTTGAGGTCAGTTCATCACACGTTGTCTCTGCTGCTCCTTGCCCTGCTCCAGCATGGGGTCCCTCCCACAAGAGACAGTCCTCCACAAACCTCAACAATGTGGTTCCTACCTATGGGCTGCAGTTCCTCACAAAGTGCTTCAGCGTGAATCCCTTCCATGGAGTGCAGTCCTTCACCAACAGACTGCTCCAGAATGTGTCCTCCATAGGTCACAAGTCCTGCCAGCAAACCTGCTCCAGTGTGGGCTGTGCTCTCCATAGGGTCCGGAGATCCCTCCAGGAGCCTGATCCAGCACAGGCTCTCCACAGGGTCACAGCCTCCTCCAGGTGCATCCACCTGCTCTGGTGTGGGGTCCCCCATGGGCTGCAGGTGGATCTCTGCTCCACCATGGACGTCCATGGGTTGCAGAGGAATCTCTGCTCTGGTGCCTGGAGCACATCCTCCCCCTCCTCCTTCATCAGCCTTGTTGTCTGCAGAGTTGTTTCTCTCACATGTTCTCACTCCTTTCTTCCGGCTGCTGTTGCGCAGGTGGTTTTTTCCCTTCTGAACTATGTTATCCCAGAGGCACTGCCACCGTTGCTGATGGCCTCGGCCTTGGCCAGAGATGTGTCCGTCTTGGAGCTGGCTGGCATGGTCTCTGTTGGACATGGGGGAAGATTCCAGCAGCTTCTCACAGAAGCCACCCCTGCAGCACCCCCAGTACCAAAACTTTCCTATCAATACAGATAGCTATGTGGAAAAATGAATTTGATAAGAACTAGCTGTTCAAAAAAACTTCACCAAACTACCGCTTTGTCTCTTTGCCCCACCTACTAAATACTCTTCCAGTCAGATCAGGGTGATGTGGATGATGGCATGGTTGGAAGAGCCCCAGCAATGACATGTGAATGGGAACAGAAATGCAGGGGAGGATGGCAAGCACTTGTACAGGTTTTGATATCTTAGGTCAGCCTTGAAGCTACACAGTACAGTCAGCATAGTAGCTTTTTCTTTTATTGTTTTCCCTTTATTATCCTTAATTTGTACGCATTTTATAGGCAATGTGTTGTAACGTTGAGTTGTTCTGTGCAATAGAAATTTATTTTCTTGTGAATTATTGTTCTCCAGGGCAGAATTCTATGTTTTGAAGAAAATTTTGGGGAGGACATCTTGTATTGCATCTTTTCAAAAATAACATTATGAGGTTTGGGGTTTTTTTTTAAGTATACTTGGTTATTAAGTTGCTCTTCATCAATTGGATTCTCACTTTTCTCTTACATATTTTTCACCGACTTGTTCTTTTCATATTTAGTGTTAGTCCCTCCAATACATCTCTTCTATGCAATTCTTGAGGTCTTGAAAAATGAACAGATAAAACCAGAAACATTTGGAAAAATAAGGTTTTCTCACCTAATTCAAATTCTGCCTTGAGCTGTATTTGAAAATCGGAAAGAATCATGAAAGAAGAAGAAAATTGTATGTTTCAAAATTTCACCTTCCATTTTTTTCTTTAAATAACTATTTTAATTTTCATCAGAAAATTTTAGACTGAAAAAAAAATTGTTTGAAATCATCTTTTTCCCCCTTTCTATATCATCAGTTGCAATTTTTATGACACCTTTTACTAGCATTATTCTTGATTCCAAACTGGAAACCAAGTTTCATAATTCCGTGGTCATACTTGAAAAAGCTTGAATCCAGGATTAATTTCTGTTAATGTTGTGTAGCAAAAGCAGTTCTGTATGCTCTCTGGTAATCATTTTAGAGTTAGGCAGTTACTCTGGAGCTGTGCAAGGAGAAGCAATTTGAAGATCCATTCAGTCCAGCCTTGAAAGCAAACAGGGACAAATGGAAACTTCTGTAACCTCAGCCAGTGATATGGAGAGTGGTGTTCTCCTACGCAGGTGAAAAAGCCTTTTCTTG